GCCAGGTGAGAGACCCTCCCCTGGCACCCGCAGGCGCCTGGCCTGCCAGCCCCCCTGCGTCTCCAGCGAGTGAGCTCAGCAAAGATGACTCATGGCGATGCAGTGAGGGAAAGGGGCCAAGAGCAGCCAGAAGGAGGGACACAGCAGCTGGACAGGGAGCCAAGACTGCTGAAGGACAACAGCAAGACTCCAGGGGCTGAGCAGAGCCTGCCCAGCCACAGGGTGGAAGGGTTTTGGGGTGGCAGAATCCACCTTCTGTGTCCCTGGACTGGTGCCTGTCTCTCCCCAGGCTGCCTCTTGGTCTGTGTGGGTAAGGAGCCCATGGATATGCCGTCAGAACTCCAGGCCTGCTGGCAGTCCAATCCAGCCAGGAGGAATCAATCAGAGGTTTGCAGCCCAGCCAAGCAGCCGCATGGAGAATCCAGCCGCAGGCATGCGGAATGGAGGGAGAGGGTGGGGAAGCAGCAAAGTAGATGCTGGAGCTGAAGGACACACAGAACACCCTGCAATTGGCGCTCCAGGCTGGGGATGTGGGGCCAGGTCCAAAAAGAGAAAGTGAATTACCACCCCTTTGGGACTCCAGAGTGGCAGAGGGGACAGCAGAGCCCCAGTTTGTGTCCTCCACACCTGGCTAAGCATCCAGGAAGAGCTACGAACTGCCTGTACCACAGCCAGCTGGATTTTTCTTTTCAGCATTTTTTGGGCCTTTTCAATAACATTCTAGGAGGAAATACCAAAACCCTTTGCTCACTACGAAGCTGTGAAAGATCTCTGTATCCACAACTCCAAACTATGGTCAGGAATAAAAAACCACTTCTATCTGATCTTGACAACAAAGAGGTTGCAAATGGGGGTAAAGTCATGATGGAGGAGACTACCTGAGTCTCCTCTGGCTTCCTAGAAACTGACCCCTTTCCCTTGCCTTGCCATTTCTCACTTTAGACCCACTCCTCCTAGGACACTATCTAGGTCACAGCCAGGCTTTTTTTTTTCTCCATAAAATCAGTCCAAATAAACCCCCAGAGAGGGGTGCTTCCTCCCATCTATGTGCAAAAGCACTCAGCTCTTCCAGGCTCTGGGTTCGTGAGCCCTTGGATCCTGCCAGCGGTGCTGGGAGCAGACCTAGCCAGGTACCTCTTGCTCCTGCATGATCCCGGGGGCTTGGCGTAGGGACAGGACTCCCGAGGACAGTAGCATTACGGGGAGCACAGCTCCTGCAGCGCAAAGCTTCCTGG